GCTCTCCGTACGCCTTTCTCAGCAAGTTCTATGTCTTCCCCCCCCCCCCCCCCGGCCTGCCCTTCTCATCCTCCTTGACTTGATTATTCTAATTATACTTGGCGAAGCGTACAAGTTATGAAGCTCCTCATTATGCAGTTTTGGTTTAAATATTTCGGTGAATCAGTTGATCAACTGTCATTTAATAGTGTCAATCGTTCCGCAGTACAACCGGTTACTAGAAGCTCTCCGGCCATTAACAGTCATTGAAATTCGTAGTTTCTTAACCGGAAGATGTTAGTGTTCTGTATATCCCAATGAGCATCTCTCATTTTCTGACGGAACCTATTCACAGCTCTTGCATTTCTCTGTTAAAAATCGATTTTCTTTCATTTTCTTGGAATAATAACTTATGTTACTTCTGGTTTGCATAATTTAAAAAAAAAAAGGCTTTCGGTAATACTTATGAGAATATATTCATATAAAAATTAAGGTCAGCATCTTGAAGAATATCATGATATGCTCGAACGTAAATATGCGTTCTGCCGACCCATTATTGCGTGCTCTGCGAGCACCAGGCAGCAGTGTGTTAACATTGTTTCTCTTTATATTTCATTTGTTTCATTCTGGTCCGTCACACTAACAAATTACAAAGACAAAACAACTCCGTCCAGTGTGTAACAACACAGCACGCCACGAACAACACAGGACGATTCAAGAATCTCATTCTCAAGATTAGACAGGCAGCACAAGTTCAGACCCCATCAAGAAAGACGAGAGGAGAAGGGACACGAACCTACTTGGTTTATAAATTTTAGCTTAAATAACAAAGTTTTAAAAACTTTAATATACCAAGAAAGCTGCTGTAATTATGGAAAAGCTGGATTTTGTATATATTGTGCATTACAAATATTGTATGTACGTATATGTATTTTAACACTCAAAACACCCATTGTGATAATAGTTTCCAAAAAAGTATCGATGTCCCTCTGATGATGGTCTATAGGGACCGAAACATGTAAGGGTGTTAAGTTTTTAAGCAGTAAAAACTTCAATAGTCACACTGGACGGAGTTGTTTTGTCTTTGTAATTTCCTCTTTGGTTTACACAGGAAGCTCCTGCGCCTGCGCCCAGAAATGGCGAACATAAGCCTCAGGGAAACGGGTAACAAGCCTCCGGTTCTGTGGGTGGAGGTGGCAGACTGTTGCTTCTCCTGCCAATATACATGGAGTAACAAACAACACTGAACTACAAACATAATAATTTTATTTCAAATGTCAGAGTGTTAGCCGGACTAACACAGTTAACATGGACGATCCGCCATTGAGCTACATATAGCATCGATAAGTAAATCATAAATGGAGACATACATTGTGTTATTTTGTACTGTCACGTGATAGAGTGACTACAGACGGGCTTTGGATTAATGGCCGGATTTTCTGGACACACATACAGCGCGAGGCTACACTTTACGTTTCACTATCACAAACACACTAGTGTTGTTTTCAGTCACAGTCCGCACTAGCCGTTGCTTGGTAGCTGCTTCCATCGGCGGATGTTCCACTTCCTATGTTCCTGAACCATCCCCGAACTCAGCTAACAGCTTCTAACAGCAAAAGCTCACAGTGACTGAACTGCAGCAGCTAACTGGGCCACTTTCAATATATCGGCACGGACCGCGTAGAAATCACCGTTCCTCTGTTGCAGTTTACGGACCGCTGCCTGGTAATGGCTGTTGTGAAGCGGCCTCTGTAGTCTAGGGGTAACGTTCCCACCTCATGACTCAAGGTACGCGGGTTCAAACACGGCGGAGGTCGTGGAATTCAGGAAACATGTCCTCCGGGAGGGACTTTAGGCCGTGTGTCCCGTGTCGTAGATTTACGGCACGTAAAAGATCCTCATGTCTCTAGGAGACCTCTGAGCTCAATTAGGCAAGTTTCCCGCCCAAGTAGTTTCCAATGCCTCTGGTAGATGGGGGAAGCATCAAGGTACAGAGGGCCGACCTCGTTGGCTGAACGGGGCTGATAGCACGCACCAGTGCCGGTAAGGTATGGAGACTGGTAGAATATCAAAGGGGGACGTACAATAGACTATTAGTCGCGGTGCATGGGGAAACCCACCCCTCCAATAATAATAATAATAATAATAATAATGGCTGTTGTGTAGTTGCTTACTTCGCGGTCGTTGCCTAGGAACTGGTGTACATGTCTCAGTATTCATCTTTGTTTGTGACAGCATATGTTTTCCGGGATTTCTCTTATTTCCTAGTACTGCAATGCTACCAATTTTGTGAATTTAAATGCCGAGTAATCTGTTTTGTTAGTTTGGACTAGCCCAGTTTGAGCGCAGTTTTATGTCTATGAAAGGAAACGTCTAGCCATAGTTCTCAGAATGTGCGTGTGGTGTATGATGTTGGAGCATGTTGTTATAGTTTCCCGATATAGCGGCGATCGATTATCCTTGGCCTGGTACTCTAATAAAACAAAACAACGAACAAGATAGGTACAGATGACGAGGGCATTGAGAAACCTTGCTTAACAGAACAAATGTGAATATAGGAACAATCCTTCGTCTTGGATTTAAGGTTCACACTGCCGTAGCTAAGAAGAGTGTATTCTTCTGGGGTGTAAGACCATATAGTAGAATTTCGACGACGTTTCGGAGGAACACGGACTAAAGTCGTGGAATATATGACACTTCTTTGGGGGAAGTAACTACTCGTACTTGGAAATTAAAAGATATGTTTTGATACTCGAAAAAAGAAAAGTAGGTTCAATGTTTATTTTATTTTCAAGCACAAATAATTTAATTTAATTAAATGCAACGGGAGAAAGGTATATTACAAAATACAAAGAACTCTAAATAATACGCTTGAAGAAAGCGACGCTAATGTGAGATGAGACCCGTGTTGTTATGAGCGTAAACTTTGAACATTTTCTATTTTTAACATTGTAAAAAAAAGACAAAATTGTCCCTGTACTTAATTAAGGACTATGCCATGAAGACATGTGATGGAGTGAAGGTATAGCTTCACCGTTCTTGACCTCGGCACTAGATGGAGGTGAGTGGTCAGCTTCACGCCCTGGCCGCTTTACTCGTGGCGAGAGCGCCCCCGTTCCCTTTTGATAGGCTGGGTGGGCCCCAGAACCGATCTGGACGCGGTGGAGAAGACAAAAAAGTCTTGCACTGCCAGGATTCGAACGCAGGCCGTCCATACTTTAGTCCGTTGCTATACCGACCGAGCTTGACAAAACAAGTTATGAAATTCGCTTATATATTGGATTCTATACATGTTGGGCACACAAACTGTGGATCTTGAACCCAGAATGTTCGCGGACCCAGCGGTAGCATTTTCAACACTTGACACATTTTTCCTCATGCTGATCTTGCAGTGCGGTATAAACATTGATCATCCCCACCCTCAGCAGCGTCGTCATCTGAACTCCTAGCCTGAGTCGTCTTCGCTGTCATGCATGTAGTGTGCATTAGGAGTTTTAGTTTTCTTGCTGCAGCCCCTATATGCGTCTTGTAGGGTGAAGAGGCTATTGCATTAGCACTTCCACCGCTGCGTTTTGACCCTTCTTCTTTAGTTTTTCTTTGTCCAAATTGCGGGAGGGTTCTCATGTTCGACGACCTTATGTCAGAACTTGAGGTTGGCTGAGAACATTTTGAGGTTCGATCATTGGTTGTATCACTATCATTATCCTCATGCTGGCTACAAACTGCAAAATCGTGGCCACAGAAGTAGTATGATGACAAGGGCAGAGTCCAGTTTTTGGAACGGATTTCGGTATGTTTGAACTGTGACATATTTCCTGTAAACAACAAACTTCGAGACTATATATGAAGTGACAACATGATTTGGATTATTGGCCAGACATGTCTTTATTTCTGGCCCCCAGTACATTTATAAGGTAAACATGAGACCTACACCCAGCATACTGTGGTGTATGAGGTGGCACATATACAGTTGCAGTATGATTTTTCTTCCCTTCTTAATAATAGCTGCATTCCTTGTGTGTGTGCGCGTGTGCGTGTGTGCGTGTGTAGTGTCCGTTAAGAACTAGTAACGCTGGCTGTTCAGGATTGGACTTCACATGACGCCTGAAAGCCGGAATAGCGGAACCAGATTAGGTATTCATTGCTAGGCAACAACTCGGTAAACACATTCCCGCGGCAAAGAATGAGCAACCAACAATCGAGGTATTGTTGAGCTATAAAGATGAAGACGATGTTTCTGTTGGATCCTCCCTGAGGCTATAAAACGAGGATTCCATGCCAGCTGAAATAAAATTGATGCAGTCTCTTGAGATGGCAATCGTAGATAATTGGGAAGAGCTGGAAAAGAAAGAATTAGGCAGGAAAAAGAAGACTTCGTATGTGCTACAGTTACAGTGATACTGTTATAATTACTGTGTTGAAAACCGTTGCCAGAATACGACTAGTGAAGATTGAGAACCATAAAATCTATTCACCAAATCCCGTCTATAGTCACTAATACACGTGACAATATTTTATAGAATGATCAAACCACGTGGTAAAAATGTCCATTTGTACCCACCCAGAGTGATAACAAGCAGAGACAGAACCTGGTGGTGCCTCATACGTCAGCTGTTTTCGTTTTTCCTTGGCCGGGTCATGAATGGCGGAAATCAGTTTCCAACAGCATTCATACTCGTACAGGCTGTTATTGTAATGAAACATCCAGCTCTCCCGCCAGACGCGAGTCTCCCCATCAAGTTTATTGCTTTCTTGAGTTTCTGTTGCACTACGGCTGTGCCGGCTTCGTCTACACCGAACAATCCGCGTGGTTGCGAATTCATGTTTTTATAATCCGGACCGAGATTTCGAAGAGTTTTCTCCTATTTTGTGGATTAAATTCTTTTACCCAAGCATGAAAAGTGCCTCTTGTTGTTCTCAATGTCAGTTTCGTCGCAATTATCCCCCCCCCCAGCTGATTATCTTTGAAGAGAAGCCGGGTTTTATAGAGTGCTTGATAAGCGCAGAAAGTGTTTTCACTCCCCGAGAGGCATCTTAATAAGTGAGCGTGTCTCATAATAAGAAACCTCCCCGCGCTCACATTAGGAACTCGGCCGCCATTGAAAAAGAACAAAATTGAGGTTATGCTTGGCAGTGTCATTAAATGTTAGCCAGCGTTTCATGTGTATCGTTGTTATACTATCGATCTCTGTGAATAAATCGATATAATTTACCTCATCGCCGGTCACGGTAGCCGAGCGGTCTAAGGCATGCACTGTCTTCGCTCGCTCGGAAGCCGGGATCGTGGGTTCGAATCCCACTCAGGGCATGGATGTGTGTGTGCGTTTTTCTGTGTTTGTCTGCAGGTAGAGGCCTTGCGACGAGCTGACCACTCGCCCAAGGAGTCCTACCGTATATGTAAGATCGAGAAAAACCGAAGTGAACGGAGTTCATGGAGGTAGGCCTAGGCCCACTGGGGCTGTAGTGCCAAGGGGGGGCAAATAAAAATTTACCTCATCAGTGAGTATAATGTGAGAACTCAGAGGTTCCGAACTCTTAAAAATGACTGGAAGTAATTGCACGTCTTCACACAGCCCACGGAACAACAGCTGCGCTGTGTGGTGGTTGACAACCAGACCTAGACTTTGCAGTCATCTCCGACTTAGGTAATGTAGGGCCTCATATTCCGCTGCTATACCCTACTGCCGACTCGTCTTCAGGGTCGAAGAGTAAGTCAAGCCAATAAGTAGCAAGAAATAGGCGGCAAGCAAAATTGGTGAAGTCGGTGAAATTTTACCAAACTGCATGGCGTTACGTTCCATAAGATACTCGTAACCATTTGTGTACTCAGTTTGTGATCCAAGTTATGGGGCCTTGTAGTTTGTTATGTGCGTACCAACTTTTTGGAGGAACGTACTGTCAACGTCTCGGTTTCACCCTGACAACAGAAGCAGGTTTCCATCCCAGATGTTGATGTCCACGTATCAGGTTGTATGTGTGTGTCATAGTAGAGAAGGCAGCATCGTGAATGTTGAAACGAGCTCCTCTCTCTTGTGAGATGGAAGAACCGTTGAAACCTTTCAACAACATCCCTACCCCACGACACAGTACTAACTAGCATTCCATTCACAGGATGTAAACAATACATGGAGACAAAAGACTGCTCGCTCTGTCGTGACCTATTATGTATGAATGCCTACCCTTAATACAAGCTGACACAGTATAATACTAGATTGCGCACATTTCTTAGGTCGGGAAAATGGTATTATACCTGTGCTTAATTAATTAAGGACCACACCAAGAAGACGTATGGGGAAGTGAGCATTCATGACCTCTGCACTGGTTGGAGGCCAGTAGTGAACTTTACGCTCCGGCCGCTTTACCCCCTGTACCCCTTGGATAGGTGGATGGGCGGGCCCCAGAAACGGT